AAAGATCTCATACTAAAATGTGAATCTTGACCCTTATAAAATAAGAGATTCTTGAATCACTTTCCAAGACATAGTTTTCATAAAATACTCTCTTTTAAAGTTGAGGAATAGACCATATATCAACATAGTTTTCATAAAATACTTTCTTTTAAAGTTGAGGAATAGACCATATATCATCCAACTACGTCTGAACCGGACTATTGTATAATGCCACATGGACTTGGTTTGTACTCATGGACTATTGGAGTAGACATAATGGTGTCAATTACTGTACCGATCTACATAAACTTATAATAATAAAAATAAAAGCTGACTACTTGAAAATAAAGCAGCATTTGTACAAGAGTGACACATAATAAGAGAAGTCCAATATCAAAGGTGGCAGACATAAAACTCAATTTATTGAGTTTCTATTTTGTCCATCTCCTCTCGAATCTCACTTCTTTGTTTCTCTTCAAGGAATTTCGAAAGTTAATTGGACAAACATTGAAAAATTAATTGATACAACATTTGTGATTTTATAGGCGTCCTTTCCACATTATTAAATTGCTTAATTTCTCAAAAATGAAAAAGGAGACAGAGGCGTCCTTTCCACATTATTGAATTGCTTCATTTCTTAAAAATGAAAAAGGAGACAGGGAAAAAACGTAACACCTAAAAATGAGAAATTCGATTTGGACTTTGCTATTTGAACCAAAATGGCCAAAAACCTCGTTTTATTACATCAACTGAGCACACGACTCTTCTTTCTGTGACTAACGGACAAACAGTTGCGCCAGAAGACATCTGCTGACGTGGACACCCCCACCATAACAATACGTTTTTATTAAGGTCGCACCACGGGAGGGTGGATCTGCTGCGGCTGCGGCTGTTGCTGCACCATGTTGAGCCGGGAGCATGAGCGTACAATCTCTCCAGCCAGGGGTACAATCGGCATGTTGTCGCAGTTGCATATCTCGATCATGAACCCGTCTGGGTCGTGGAAGAACAGCTGGTCCACGTACACCCCGCCTTCCTCTACCCTCTGCCGCACCCAATCAATCCCCATCTCAGTCAGCTTCTTCTCCACCATCCCCATGCTCTCACACTGCATCACAATTAATTAATCAACACAAGTATATTAATTGATTTGAAAAAATTAATCAACCAAATATGATCATTTAATTGGTATTCAATTGTTCGAAACAATATTAATAATTCTATTCTTATCTACACCGGATAGAGTGAAATTCAAAATTTGCTCCCTTTTGAATTTAAGGGATAACTGCACATAATTAGAAAAAATTATATATATACTTATATAAAAGGGGATCCTATTTACTACAAATAATATTCAGAGAAGTCAACTACAATTAATGCTATTACTATTTCTATCATGTATTTTAATTAATTATCTTATATTGAAATTAATGTTATGCGATTCAATTAATGTTATTATTATTCACATACAATCGGTTTTCCTGCGAAAATATCCCACAAAATTAGCTTTAATTTTTTGTATATTTGAAATTTCCTTCTTATCTTCTATTTGTTTTATCTCATGCAACCCGTTCAGTAAACAAAATCCCATAAAATCGTTTTAAACTTTTTGTAGATTGAAATTGAAAGTTCCTTCTTATTTTTTTACAAAAAAATGTATTATTTATGTATTAAAATTCTGTAATCCGATTTCAGATTGTATCATTAAGAATATATATAATAAAATCATAAAAAGATACTAAATCCATATTGTAAAAAAAATAATTCATATAATTTTACAATTTTACTACACTATTTAACAGTATTCCTTTTTATTATATAATAAAATAATAATTAAATATTATATAGTGAATAACAATGTAAAAACGCGAATAATTCGGTAGGCAAAGTGTACTCGTGAAGACTAATTTGAGGTGTCTCCTAAAGTGTAAATGACGATTTTGCCCTTGATTTTGCATCTCCGGTGGCCAGAAATCGTTAAGTGTAAGAATATTTAAAGTTCAAGGGGTAAAGTGTCACCGGAAAAAGTTGAGTGGGCAAAATGTAAAAACTCGGATAGTTCGGTAGACAAAGTGTAATTTTCTCTAAATGTAAATACATAAGATAAAACTATGCCTCAACATAATAATATAATTTCCAATAAATTGTCTTTAAAAGTAAAAATAGATCCAATCAAATTGGAACGCCGGGTATTCTACTGTAACAATATCCACAATAAGTAAAACTGTTACTTTCTCTTATATCAAGGGATAAATTTATATGCTAAAATTAAATTTTTATTAGTATAAATATTTTAGTGAGATAATATATTAATTATTTTACAAGTTAGCCCTAACATGCTCATCTGGCTAAAAAAACACTGCTGGTTAAAAGATGTGGAAAAAAACTTATAATAACCCTATTGGTTTTTAGACTTAACGTTGATTAAAAGAGGTAGAAAATAGATAATAACTCTATTATTTTTTAGACTTAAATGGACAAGGGAATAAAAATAACTCATTTAATATCTCTGTCTTGTGCATCGCACGGGGTACGTACTAGTATAGTTGAAAGTGACAATTGAAGTTGATGATCAGATTAATTAATGGTCCAATTGATTGATGAAATATTAAGTGTAAATGATATGATTGAGACTTTGAAGATCTTTAAGTGAGACACAACTCGTGTATGACATTTATTTGTGGAGCCCATTTACATTTCTAGGTACAGAAACAATTGAATGACTATAGTAACAAATAATTGATTTCACTAGAAGAAAGGATCTTCTTTTTTCCAATTTTGCAATTATAATTGCAACATGTACTATGTCACTTTTGCAACTAAACTATGTATATTTATCTTAATACAACTAAAAATATAAGAAAATTTATAAATTAGGACTTCAAGTGCATTTTGATTTCTTGACTACAAAATCCTTCGAAAACCATAAAGATCGATTNTGGGATTAATCACTGTTTTCTTCGGCATATTGTCTGGATCTTCGGATTGCAGCAGATGAATTCCAATCCCATGACCAAACAGCCTAATTTTAGGAAAAAAAAAAAGGAAGACCCAATATTGTTCATCAATAGAAATCCATATATATAATAATGAAAGCCAACTAAAAATAATCTGGTGCGTTGCATTTACCACGCTCCATCAAACTTGAGTGACCCGGGCCTCCTGACGGGTACAAACCCGAGGACGTTTTGGTAAAAGGAAGTTGATTCCTCAACTGATTTGCAGACAAGTGATATGTGGTTCAGGGATGAGAGGTGCAGTGGATTCCCCTTGTTTTCCTTCATTTTTTCTCCTTCCTTTTTTTTAACAAAATTAAAATAATTAGAATCAATTACGAAAATTTGGGGCCGAAAAGAAATTATGCTGAAAACACGGGGAACTTTTCAAGATTTAAATTGAGCTGGTATAAAGCAAAGGGTAGTTTGTGCAAACAGAAAAAGTCATAAAGACTTGAAGACGGAGAAAACAAATGGTGTATGTGTGTGTAGGGATAGAGATGAAAATTAATGAGAAAATGCAGCTGATTTTATAAAGACGGACAGGGAACTATGAGACACACGTACGTACAATCACATCTGCGTGTCTCTCCGTGNATGACGAGAAAATGCATACGTGCCACTTGGGGAGTTTGGTTGTTACAGGTGTCCGGAAAATTGATTCCTTAAATCTCATGTTGCTGACTAGGATATCATTGGGTTACAGCTGTTCTCTATTATTTCCACTATTTTCATTTCATTATATTTTCCATTTCATTTTTATAATATATTATTGTTAAAAATTTAGTATGGATTAGAACGGGAAACATATGAACTTAATAATATATGTTTCAATTCTTACCGCTTGAACTAGAAAACAAAAAAAAAGTACAATTTGAAAGCAGACAAAGCGCGAATGTTGCTATTTCTGCAAAACGAGGTGTCTCGTCTCCAAAAATACGACGGCTTACGTCTCGAAGGTTGTAGAACAACAGACTTTCGAGCTCCGACGAACTTGAACGTAGTCGAGAATTGAGTATCTATATGCGTGAGGCTATGGGAGAATACACAAGACGCAGATGATATTCAAAGTATCCTTTTTGCAGTTTCAACAATGTCCTATTTAGAGGATTTTCATCACTGGAGGGGAATGACGCACTTAAGACATGTAACAATACATTTAAGACTGTTCTAATGGGGAGAAAACAGTCATGAGTTAATCCTGCCATTTTTAGGTGTTATCACACCACTACTCCCACCTAAAACTGTCGGGTGGAGTGAACACGTCCAAGTTTCATGTAACTGGAAGAAGTCTCATACATTTTGTGTTAGCAAAACTCAACTCGGTTTAGATTTTATTTTTTACCACAATTGCAAATAAATTTACAGCAAAAAGATTAAAGAGGTTGGGCCCATGGCCAACCAAGACCGTCCAAGTCCAGCCTACAGCCTACAGTCTAATTGCCAAGGAGCAAGGCCCAAGACTCAAGTCCCCAAGTCTTAGGCCCAGGCTCAGGCCCCATGCCCATGCCCATGCCCGAGTGGGTTGGCCGACAGTCGAGTGCACACGCGTATGGTCAAAGTCATCGCCAACACTTGGTGCATAACTTTATTGTTGTTGTTACCTCTGCAACTTTCTTTATTACAAATGAATTTTAACTTTTTTTGTTTGGCGTCGGAAATTCTAATCTAAAAATTGAACTTTGAATTTTTTGAACTTTTATTAGGTTTTATTATTTAATTTTATTTTATTTCTCGATTCAGAGTTGAACCGATCCTAAAGCGTCGGGCTGATTCTGTACCGGGACCGCCAGTTTGTTGAACCGACTATATATATTTATTGGGTGATTCTGATTCACCAAAAAATGTGAATCTGATTCGCGGGTTCCAAACTAGAATCAGACTGGCCCGGATTTCTGCCATGTCTCGTGCTTGGTCCACGCGAATATAATTGCAATTTAATAATTCAAATTAATATTTTATTCTCCTTTTAGGTTGCCACGTACTCTTACCAAGCCGCGAAACTTGTAACGAGTCGCGTACTTTGTGGTTGAACCCGAGAAATAGTCTTTGCATGATCAAATGCATCCGGTTGCTTTCGAGTGCGTTCAAAAAGGTGTCTACTGGCATAAGATTTGTGAACACTCTCCATATATAAATATTATGGATTGCTTGGATAAATACTATGAGATTGAATTTTTTGGTTAACCAGAATTAATTTTTAAAAAATTGGTTGGATTAGGCTATAGTGAATTTCGAGTTTGTATTAAAAAATATTTAAAATAAAAAATTAAAGTTGATTTGATATAAAAGTAAGAGATAGGTGATTGGAAGTGATGAACAGTTAAAATTATACGAGTGAATAAATAATAAATTTGAAGAAAAGCTTAATCGCTCATATTTGGGAGGATAAACCTCATTTTCATTAATCAAGGAAAAGTTACACTGCAAAATGCAGAAAACCTATTTGTATATGCAGTGTACATACGGAACACACGTCATACACATGCATAGCCCAATACGACGTCGTCTTTGATGATAGTCATAAAAGAAAACTTAAAGAAAGCGTTTTAAACATAAACGCGACATTAGTCATAAAAGAAAAGGAAAGATAGCAAGATAATGAATGTGATCACATTCTCAACAGAATTAAACATGATGTGATGTGTGAGAATCATTGATTGATTTATATATTTAATTATACTGATAATATTGAGAAGAGTTGGACAAGTTAAATATGAGTTGAATTTGTTTGATAGAAACTTATATTCAAGCATGCATTACGCACATTTCAATTTACTTGAGTGCAAAATTATTATTAGGTGAATTCATTGTATATTGTTCATCGATTTTCTTTATTAATGTTTGAAAGTTTATAATACTTTCATTGAATTTGGAGAGTCCATTGTAGTTAAAAGTCGTGAGATGAATAACGTTATATAATTTTGCTCGTGGTGAGTGTCTTGACTCTTGACTCATTAATATTGTTTTATTGAAGTTTTTTGGCGTTTGTTTTTTGTTCGTGATTAACAAGAAAAGGTAGTTACTAGCAAATATGAACATAAGTTTTCACCGCGTTAGACACATATACTACAATTTCACAATAATCATAATTCACATATGTTCAAAAGCATTTATGCACGAATACGATCAGTAAGAATGAGTGGAAGAGTAACGCAAAATTTCAAATATTAAATT